TTGCTTTTTTTCATCAAATTAAAAATGTCAAGAGTCTTTCATCAAATTATTGTAAATAGCTATTGGGACCATACACCAGACGACCCTAACAAAAAGCATCCAAAAGGCAAACACAATAAACATATATAAGATATAAAGTTATACCTAGGCTAGGGCATCTCCAGTCCTTGCTCAAATCTTGATTCGGATTTAATTTATATTTTAAAAAATAAATCACAACTCCTTACTTTTTGACTCAATCAATACCAAATTGAGTTTTACCAGGGTGGAAAAAAACACTCTTGCAAATAACAGCAGTATTTGGTGGATGGCAACTTCATTTATTTACCCTTCTGCCACTCCAAGATGATCTTGGGAATAGATGAAATTACTTTTTATTTTATGTTACTAATTCTTCTTCTAATTTAATTTATATTTCACACAAAATTATTATATGATAATTACAGTTTTATAATACGATAGAACTAAAATTATCAAAATGCACAAATAATTTAACTAAAATTAATATATATATATATATATAAGTATTCAAGTAATAATTTTATAGAACGATAACACTAATATTATCAAAATAAATAATTAAAATCATACTTTAATTATTCTTTTATAACACATATTGTATCATCAAATATTTTTTTTAAATAAATAATATACATATTGTACGGTCAACTGCTAGTGAGTTAATGAGAGGGTAATTTATAAATAAATTGGGCCGAGCTAAGGAAGAGGCTTCTTTGGAAGTTGGGCCACACATCGGACCGAGATAGGAGCTGTTGTAGCTCGGTCTAAAAACTAACGAGCTTAGGCCAGGTGAAGTTCGAACCGAGCTATGGGCCGAGATGTTTGGGCTTCACAAGTTGGACCTCGCCCTTGTTAGCTTGGTCAGAGATTGTTGCAGTTAGCTTGGTCTAAACAGACAAAACTGAGGCAACATCAATGACGAGGGCCGAGCTATGTGTAGCTCGGCAGGGTAACATTCATTAGATTGGCTTCCAATCAAACGGTCCAAATGGCAAGGGACTGAGATAAGTCAGTTCGGTCAGAAATGTATAAACCGAGGTAAAGGGTTCAACCATCTCACTTGGCTTGCAGTGATGAGACTCCTAGTAGGACTCTGCTAAGGAGAGTTAGAGTCCTACTGGAATTGTGCAAATCATCTCACTTGGTTGGTAGTGAGTAGGAGTGTGACTCGTAGGAAGACTCTGCTAAGGAGAGTAGAGTCCTACAAGGATTGTGCAAAACCATCTCACTTGGTTAGTAGTGAGAAGGGTGTGTGATTCCTAGGAGAACTCTCATAGGGAGAGTTGGAATCCTACTAGGAATGTGCCAAGCAGAGTCTATAAAAGTTCATGACCAGACCTATGTACAGGTATCCCAATTATTGCTGCAGAATAGCTTATTGTCTATTGTCTAGTTGTTGACTTAGGCATTGGAGGGGTTTCCGGCACACACCCGCCGGTTAGCTCACGTTTGTGTTTTCAGGTGGCACACACCCGCCGGTTAACTCACGTTTTTGTTTTCAGGTGGCAAAATAATGTTGTTTAGAGGAGTGCAAACTTGATCAACAGGAGCATACGAAAAGAATTATTTCGTTCTCGTACAGTTAGTATGACAATCAAAAATTAAGATGAGATAAGAGGTGTCTCCGTAAAATTCTAAGACAAAATATATTAAAAATCACAAACAAACCTACGCCATATCAATTAGTAATATATATATATATATTATATTATATCATAATGTCGTGTTTGCTTCTATGCCAGTAATAAAGAAGGATAAGGCCTTATTTGGTATCCGAGTGTTTTAATTTAAAAATTAAAAAAATATCAAAAAATCTATAATTTATACTTAAAAGGTTAAAGATTTCATTTTCTTTTTACTTTTTATACATTTTTCGTAAAAAATCAAAAAGTCATTTCAAACATATTAATTTTTTTTATCTCGTATTTTAATTAAAAAGTCAAAAAAATTACTAAAATAGTTTGTTTCTAAACGAGGCTTAAGTCGTCGTTTAGCTTTTTTTAGTTTGTTTTTTTAGGTTGGGACTTTTTTAGCTTAGGATTAAGAGGCAATTTGGGAAGATTAGCTCTTTAGTTTTTTTTAAATTTTTTTTTTTTTGACATTTTTAGGTCAAATTATCTATATACTTTTTTATACAAAAAATCCAAAAAAAAGTTAAAAAAATCAACTTTTTACTATCTTCTTAAAACACCACTAAAAAGTTTGTTTAGTTTGGTTTTTTTTACTTTTATGAGAGAAAAAATAAAATAATTATAATTTAAATATAACATTTTACTTTATTAACTGATTTAGTCTATTTTATCTTTTATGTTTTTGTAGTTCAATTAAATTAGTCAAACGACAACTAAATTGGGATGAATCGTTGACTAAATTTTATTTAAACAATGTTTGTGAAAGAATGGAACAATCGAGAACCAACTTGATGTACCCATTTTAGGATATTTAATTTTTTTTTTTTTTTATTCGATCCTTTCCTGGAATGCTAAGGTTACATAATGAATTGTAGAATAGTCTACCGAAAATGCAATGGAATTAAACTCAATTATAATGGTGTCAATTTGTTGAGAATGAATTTATGAATTTATGAATTTACATTAGAATTTTTAATATATGTGAAATGATTTTATTATTTTTGTAAAATAAAAATAAAATAATTTTTTCACTTCTAATTTTATGAAATTAGATTGTGAAATCCAACCCCCTCCATGCGATTTAATGGCTCCGTTTGGTGTAACTGTTAAAACAGCTTATAAATTATAACTTAACAGATTATACATTATGACTTTAATTAGAAGTTGTTAATTTGTTTGGTGTAACTGTTGGATTATAGATTTAAGTTGCTGAGTAATGTTTGTTAAATAAGCTGTGAAATAACTTTTTCAATTAATTTTTATTTTTTGTTTGTCTACATTTCTCATAAATAATAATAATAATAATCTATAGTCCATTTAGGTATTTTTCTATTTTTAAAAAAATAAAAAATAAAAAAATTTAAGAGTAGAACCAAAAATTAATATGTCCACAGCAAAAGCTGATAATTAGAAGCAAGGGGTGAACAGGTTCTCAGAATCAGCTTTTTGAGTTAAAATAAGCTGTTAGAATAAAAAACTGTTTGAAATAAATTTAACCAAACAGTCCAAAATAACTTTTTCAAAACTAAAAGCTATAAGTTAGCTGTGAAAAATTGAAACAAATACCCGAATACCTCCTTGAGGGGATTCATAATTGTTGAACTCATGGCATTATTGTAAGACAAACATGATCCATCTATTATTAATCCAATCACATCATCAATGGACTAAAAAACCAAAGAGGGCTCACAATCAAATTCAATGAAACTGGAGGTAAAAATTGGAAAATGTTTAAAACTCAAGTTTTGCTACATTCTTTTATCTTGTCACTCCTAATTGTACCTTAAATAGTTGATGAGTATCTGTGAAATTAAAAGTTGACACTTATTATATTAGGATAAAATTGTAGGATTTTTATTAGAGATCTCAAATATTTTTCTTAAAACTCACAAAAAAACTCTCAAATATTCTATATCTAATGATATAGAACTTAACTCCTTTATCACATCATTGTATATAGAATTATAAATTTAAAAGTGTAAATATCTAACATTATTAATAAAAATATTATAGTGATGTTTTGAAAAGTTAATAAAAAATTAACTTTTTAACTTTTTGTGTTAAAAAGATAAAAAAGTGATGTGATTCAAAAAGTTAAAAAATAAAAAAATTAATTTTTTATTATGTTGCCGAAATACCCTATTGTACCCCAACCCTATAAAAAAAAAAAAAAGAATTATTATACTAGTAATATTATATTTATAATTCTATCAAACTTAATCGGAAAACAAACCTAACATAAGACTTGTGAGATAATGATTGTTAATTTAATTTTTGGGTAAATTATAGGTTTATGTTTAATACATATTACTCATAATGTTTGAGAAATTATACTAATTTTCTTGTCATTATAATTGTTTAAACGGAATGAAAATATTAAATTCATACACTCTTTTTTTTTTTTTACTTTGCTTTACTTTTTTTTTAAAAATTTTTTTAATGTAATTTTTTTTATTTTTCTATTAGGAGTTGCTTCCTTTTATATAAGTAGGAGGTTTGTGAAATGAAACTACTAACCACAATGATAAAAATATAATTTTTAAAACGTTAAGGGATAGATAATAATTATATAAAATCTCAAGGAGTGTCAATGTAATTTATCCTTAATTTTTAAAGTTTTTTTTGATAATTACTTACCAATTCCTTCAAATATATGGTATGGACTTTGAAGCAGAGACAGACAACAGCTTTTACATACACACCAACTGAGTATTTGACTTTCGCTACCCATCACTTGCATGTAGGTCCTACAAAACGCAAAATAACAGGAATTAACAAAATTCAATTATTATATAATAGTATTAAATAATTATTAAAAAAAAAATTGTACTAGTATTACTAATAAACAACAACAACACAACAACAGCCTTATAGGCTTGTGAAAGTCAATTGTCATCTCATCTCATCTCATCTTAAACTGTTTGTTAAGGCAGATTGTGGAGATAGCCAGCTAGGGTCAATGAAAGAGAGAGATACAGAGATATCAATAAAAAAAAAGATTATATAAAAACAAAAACACTGGGCAATCAAAGAAAGGGTTATGTTTTGGAGTCATCACCACCACTGTGAAAGAAGTAAATGAGCCTTTGGTGTGGAGGGTTGTTTGCTTTTAATTGGGTTGCAGAAAAGCTAGAGAGAGAGAGAGAGAGAGAGAGGTTGGAGTTCTTTCAGGTGTTTTTTTGATTGAAGGGCATTTTTAGGTCGGTCTTCTTGTTCTTGGAAAAGAATAGCTTTGCTTCATTCGCTGTGAGTGTCTTTTCTGCTGTCTGTTCTTTGCCAATTTTTTTTTTGGGATCTGGTGGGTTTGAGTCTTTGATTGTCTCTCTGTGTTGGGTTTGTTTCAATTTGATGTTAAATGTTTGGATTTTTTGTGGGTTTGGAGGTTGTTAATTTCATGAATCTTTTGAATCTTGCGTCTTGAATTTTTATGGGTTTGCAGATTTTCTAGTCTTTTCTTCTTCTCTTGTTTCGCTCACCCAAGATGTTGAAAGTGGTCCACTAGTTCACTGATTGAACCCTAAAATCTGTGGATGAGTTTTGTCTTTTTTTGCTTCTTACATTTCTGGGTTCCAACTGTGTGGTCTTAATCCGAATTGATTTCTCGGTGTCTGTATCTTCACGACTGTCAAATCTTAGGGTTTCTTTTTGATCTGGTTGAAGATCAGCTAGAATTCAAATGTTTTGACTCAATTCTTGTTTCTGTATCTTTGAATGTTTCCTTAAAGCAAAACCTCCCGTAGGGTTTTTGATTTTTGAAAGCAAAGCTTTGATTCTGGGTGAGCTTTTGGATTGATTCCTCTTGCCTTTTGAAATTAGGGTTTGAAACTGAAACCTGCTTTTTGGGGGTTTTGGTATTAGATGGGCTAAACAAACAAACCCTTTTGTTCTGGTGAAGCTTAAGCTGTTTGTACTTTCTGGGTTTTCTCTCAAATTGATTATACAGATAAAGCTTCGATGCATCTTTCATTATGGAAGCCAATATCTCACTGTGCTGCTCTGATCTTGGACAAAAAGAGCAGAAGAAAAGATGGGTCTAACCATTCCACTGAAGAAATCAAGAGAAACTCATCAGTTCTCAGGAAATTGCAAGAGCACAAGCTCAGGGAAGCTCTTGAGGAAGCATCTGAAGATGGGTCACTTGTTAAATCCCAAGATATGGATTCAGAATCACCTGCGAATCAAGACGATAGCTTGGGGAGATCGCGATCACTCGCAAGGCTCCACGCTCAGAAGGAATTCCTCAGAGCCACTGCTCTTGCCGCGGAGCGCATATTTGAGTCCTCAGACTCGATTCCCGAGCTCCATGAATCTTTCTCGAAGTTCCTCACAATGTACCCCAAGTACCAATCTTCGGAGAAGATCGATCAGCTGAGAGTGGAAGAGTATGTACACCTGTTAGGGTCAACCCCTAAGGTATGTCTCGATTACTGTGGATTTGGATTGTTTTCTTTCCTGCAAACAGTTCATTATTGGGAATCATCAACATTTAGCTTGTCTGAGATTACTGCAAATTTGAGCAATCATGCTTTATATGGAGGTGCTGATAAAGGCACTGTGGAACATGATATAAAGACTAGAATAATGGATTATTTGAACATCCCTGAGAATGAATATGGCCTTGTTTTTACTGTAAGTCGTGGGTCGGCTTTTAAATTGCTTTCTGAATCGTACCCTTTTCAAACGAATAAGAAGTTGTTAACCATGTTCGATCATGAGAGCCAGTCTGTGAATTGGATGGCTCAGGCTGCCAGAGATAAAGGTGCAAAAGTTTATAGTGCGTGGTTTAAATGGCCAACCCTCAAATTATGCTCAACTGATCTGAGAAAACAGATCTCGAACAAAAAAAAGAGGAAAAAGGATTCAGCGGCTGGTCTTTTTGTGTTTCCCGTTCAGTCTAGGGTCACTGGTGCTAAGTATTCATACCAGTGGATGGCACTGGCACAGCAGAACAATTGGCATGTCTTGCTCGATGCTGGGTCATTAGGTCCCAAAGACATGGATTCTCTTGGATTGTCTCTATTCAGGCCGGATTTCATCATCACATCATTTTACAGGGTTTTTGGGTATGACCCAACTGGATTTGGTTGCCTTCTCATCAAGAAATCGGTGATGGCAAGCCTTCAAAATCAATCTGGACACACTGGTTCGGGTATAGTGAAAATCACCCCTGTTTTTCCTCTGTATCTGAGCGACTCTGTTGATGGTTTGCCTGGATTGGCTGGAACGGAAGATGATGAAGTGGGTGGGAATGGCGAAATATCCACTGAAACTCGCCCTGGAGCACAGTTGCCTGCATTTTCTGGTGCATTCACTTCTGCTCAGGTAAGGGATGTGTTTGAGACGGAGATGGATCAGGATAACAGCTCTGACAGAGACGGGACTAGCACCATATTTGAAGAAACCGAGAGTATTTCTGTGGGGGAGGTGATGAAGAGTCCAGTTTTCAGTGAAGATGAGTCATCGGACAACTCAATATGGATTGATCTGGGTCAGAGCCCTTTGGGGTCAGACAACAATGGCCAGTTGAACAAACAGAAGGTTGCATCTCCCTTACCACCCTTTTGGTTTTCAGGCAAGAAGAACAAGGGGCTTTCTCCTATACCTTCATCAAAGATATCTAACAGCCCAATATACGACCAAGAGATACACCCTGCTTCTCATGAGGACCACCATGTGCTATCATTTGATGCTGCTGTTCTATCAGTGTCGCACGATGTGGACCGTCTCAAGGATATCCCTGAAAAAGAACAATTAACCGAAGCAAAACCCTTTTCACAAAATGGCGGAAAGGGTTCAGGTCAACGGCACGATCAGGGAATTCAGGAGGAACCTCAAACCAGCAAATATTCCGGGGTAAACGGATCCGGTGTTGACAAGTCGTCTTCTGTCTTGCAGCCTCGTGTCCTTGAGAACGGCTCAACCTCTAAAATTCGCGTGGAGTCCAAAGAAAGTGCGATAAGAAGAGAGACAGAAGGGGAGTTTCGGTTGTTGGGAAGGAGGGAGGGTGGTCGATTTGCTGGTGGTAGATTTTTTGGCATAGAAGAGCTTGAACAGCCCGGAAGTAGGGGAAGAAGGGTATCATTTAGTATGGAAGATCACCGTAAAGAACCTCTGAACCATACTTTGGAGCCTGGAGACATCAGCGATGATGAGGAGTTCATAAGTGATGGAGAATATGGTGATGGGCAAGACTCGGGCAGAAGGGAACCCGAGTTAGTATGCAGGCATCTCGATCATGTAAACATGTTAGGTCTCAACAAAACCACTCTCCGATTGCGGTTCTTGATCAACTGGTTTGTGACCTCGTTGCTGCAATTACGGTTACCTGCTTCTGATGGGAACGAATCAGTGCCGCTTGTTCACATTTACGGTCCAAAGATTAAATACGAAAGGGGTGCTGCTGTGGCTTTCAATGTCAAGGACAGAAACCGGGGCCTAATCAATCCGGAACTTGTTCAGAAACTGGCCGAGGCAAATGGTATCTCTCTTGGCATTGGTATTCTCAGTCACATTCGGATTTTAGATAGCCCAAGACAGCAACGCGGGTCTTTCAATCTTGAAGATAGTGCCCTGTGCAAGCCGATGGAAAATGGGCGGCACGATGGGAAAAGTGGAGGGTTCATTCGTGTTGAGGTTGTCACGGCTTCTCTTGGCTTTCTGACGAACTTCGATGATGTTTATAATTTGTGGGCTTTCGTAGCGAGGTTTCTTGATCCAGCCTTTGTCAAAGAGGACGGACTACCAACTGTTGCAGAAAGTTCAGAGATTCAAGGCTGAAAAACAAGCAGCGACGCTCTAGATTCTATTTCAAAGTTAAGATGGATTTGCACATCTTGGAGTTGAAATGGAATATTTTGTTGCATATAAAGGATGAGAAAGGTACTGTTTTCAATGTGCAGGAGTCTTTTTGGTCTTCCTCTAGACTTCGCTGCAATCGGGTGAATTTGTTCATTCATGTTTTTAATTGCTTGGATTTTTCTTCTTCATCACCTTTTGGGGTTGTTCTTGTAGACTTGTAGAGTTGGGTTTAGATATTTGTATCCATCAAGAAGCATGAACTCGAACTAGAATCAACCGGGCACTTCACTCTATACCAACCTGTTCTTTTTTTCATGCTTTTGTATAAGATTCAGCTTATTTCACATGCTTTGGGCTATTATACAATGCAATGGCATGTTCAATAGAACCAATGCTAAGAACTTGTGGAGTTTCACTTGTGGAATTTTTGTTGCTTTTACCATTATGCTTTCTTCTCTTCAACTAGAGCTGTGAGGGAAGGTGAAATTTCTCTATTGTGAAAAGCAAATTTCCCTACTGAGATTTGTCGGTAACTACATTTTTAGTGTTTCCTGAAAAATTATTTGTTTTTAGAATTTTTTTCTCCACTGTCTTCAGAATTAGTTTGTCAAACAAGTTTGTGATTTTTGAAAAATGAAAACAAAAAACAGAGCACAGACCTTGTGGGTCTCATTCTATGAATTGTATGTGTACTTGCTATTTTTTCTTTAATTCAAATGTTCAAGGAATGTCAACCATCTCATACCAGATCAAAGAGGAAGTGTAATAAAATTTCTAATGAACTGGGCAAAATCATAAACACCAAAAAACAGTGATATGATTTTGACATAAACTATTAATTTATTGCATTATGCATGTAAGCACAACATTCCAACCACACATGAGGTCTCACAAATTGGCTGATTCAAGAAGTCTTATGGGATTGGGACCTCTTCCTTCTCCTATAGTAATAATTGTTGGGCCATACCCATTGATCTTTGTTTGCCATGGAGAAAAATAATAGTGAAAACTTGAATCATTCTATCATTCACTTTATTTTCTTGTTTTTGTGGATGAATTTGTGTGGGCCCATCCCAAAAAGCTGGTAGAGAATATGGAGATAGCACTTCACTATTCTTTTTAGGACATCATGATGATGATCAAAACCTGCTTTTCCTAGTAAACAAACAAATCAAGAAACCTACCCAGCATGATATGATAAACCACCCTTTATATTTCATTTGTAAAATCTTTCTAACCAAAAAAGATATCATAAAGCAAAAGCTCAAATGCAGCTATGCTTTGAAAAGTGGTTTATGGACCTTTATGGGGGAGCTGTCTTCTAAAGGGAATTTACAGTGGTGGTTGGTGACAGTGATCTGTTGACAAACTTGAACCAATCGAGTTAACCGAGATTTCAAAAACAAATCTACAAGATAAACAAAAGCATAGAATGCATTACAAAGCTTGTCAATATAATAAGCCAAAATTGCAGTATTTTATACAATCAGGTAGCTGTATTGATATGTACAGACAACAAACTTGTGCAATTCAACAGAAGAAAGAAAGCAACCCACAACTATTATCTCGAGTCTCTTTCATTAACTATTTTATAGCTCTCATCCTAATCCACATAAAAGAAAAAAATATCTTCCTTTTTCTATTTGGCTGCGTAAGCAAGATATACACTAGGCCAGATCATTCATAACCCAGTAAATAAGATTCTTTGTCTAGCCAACACCGAAGCACCAAAATAATTGAAAACTATCCATATCTCTGGCTCGTGACTGGGTGAATGGTTCAGATCTGTAGGTTGATTCAAATTTAACCTTCTAACTTTCAGCGAGAGCTTTCTTGTCTTTTTTAAATCAATAGCTACTGTGACAGGTTTGGATCCACAAACATATCTAGGAATCAACCATCTTTATAAGAAAGGCAGTCTCTAAAGCTGACTCCTTGCATTGCAAGTATCTGTTTTCCTCCACTATGTCTACTGTTAAATTAAGCAGTATTGGGCGTTTAGGGTCATAAATGGCATGGTCACGCACACGGGCAACCCATTTCGCTGCTTCCCAAACTCCAAATCTGAAAACACAAAAAGTAAAGGAGGTGAATCAACAATTATATGTTTATTTGAGGCCATCTGGAAAAGAAAGAAGTTTTGTATAAACAGCAGGACATTATTCATTAATTAATTGTAGGTATAGAACGATAAAAACTTTCTATTATATGCTGTTTAGTATTCCAATTTATACCAGATAACTATGTAATATGAGCTGCTAAATACACATAATTTCTCTCCAAACCTGCTACATGCATTATAAATCTTGTACTTTGTGGAGAATCATTTGTACATGCGGGTGTAAAAAGAAATTTAGTGGGTGAATTTAGCAGCTTCCCAAGCTGAGGCTCACTCAAAGGCAATGGATGAGACACCAGCAACAACCAGCAAGCAGCACAAAAACTGGAGCCACCATTGAGAATTCAATCTAATTCTAGCCATATAGCTGATCAATCCCACTAGATTATCCAAAATTCTAGTAAAAGAAAACTAACTGGAATAAGGACTGTTAACGCAGAGGACCTACCCAAGCAAAAAATGGTACTCATGCACACGATGTTCTTCATGTTCTTCTTCCCCTACCATTTTAGCATTTAAAATACCAGGTAGAGCTGAAGAAAACCTAACATGATGTAGATTATAGATTATTCCGGATAAGGTCAGCCAAACAGCTGATGGAGAATGTCCTAAATTAATTATAGGGGAATTATTTTCTTGATAGCCTGGAAATAGCAGTACCCTTTCTTAATAGTCTCCCATCCTGTAACTTTCATTCCCTACCAGCTGGACTTTGTCTACCCCATTATTCCACAAACTATAATTCTAAAGACCAGAGGAAAATCTGAAAACATAGTAAAATTACCGTGTATTGAACGATGAGCTAACCATAACAGCTGGATAGAGAACATCTTTCTGAATATTATCATAAGGAGAATAATTTCGTATAGCCCGAAAATCTTCAATGTCTCCGGGGTACCCAAATTCTTCATAGTCAGCAGGTGTAAGTGGTAAAATGGGATGGAGAAGGGTGTTACTTGGATCTAAAAATGGAACCTAAACAGAAACAGAACACAAGTCATTTACTAATAGTAAGAACAAAAGAGAGCCCAACATGGGATTAAGTGTAGAAGATTAAGCAAAAGACTCAACAATGCATCCTCAGAGCCAATAATTCTAAGATGAATTACCATGTCATTGCAATCAAAGAAAATTCTTTTAAAATATTAAAAATTATAAAACACATCTCTATGGAACATTGAAATAGACAAAATTGGTATGAAATTAGAGACATTCAAAACTGGTAAAAAGTTTCACATATACCTTCAAAACTGCAGCACAAAATAAATCTGGAGAAAGATTAATGGCTGAAGCAACGACGAGTCCACCAGAACTGTATCCCCAACCAGCAAGCTTATTTTCTTGCACAATCTCCTTCTCAATTAAGAATTTAGCACAGGAAATATAATCATTAATGGAATTATGTTTTTTCGTCCCTCTTCCGTCATGATGCCACTTTTTACCACCACGACCACCACCTCTGAGAAAAAGACCATCCAAATAACCAAACTTGAGCAATTTATGCTTAGATATTTGAAATGAATGTAATTGATGTTAAACAAACCTGACATCAGCATACGCAACCACCCAACCGCGATCAAGAAGGCTTTTTAATTCACTTCGCCACCGTTTGTCAAGCAACTCACCATAAGCTCCATGCACATGAAGTAATCCAGGATTCTGAGCCACTTTCTTCCTCGTGCATGAATAGACAATAGTCAAAGGAACTAAAACGCCATCATGTGAAGACACATCATAATGTTCACAAGCATAAAACTCAGAGAGGTCATTCCATAAGTGGTCATCTTCAAAATTGACTTCATTTGTAGAATCTGAACTTTGGGAGATTGATGACTTTTCAGTGCTGCCAGCAGAAGATGCTCTTCCATACAAAATTCGTGTTCTGTCATGCAGCATATTTTGCTGCTGAATGATATTCCACTTACCGTTTGACAAATCATAATCAACTACAGCATCAGGCATCTGCAAACAAAAAGATGCAAGACAGTCTTTGACTAGCAGTACACTTTTAGAAAAAAGAAAAATATGTCACCATTGCTTAAGATGATCTAAACACTATCTTGACATTAATCATCATCTTTGGAATTGATAATACACCACCACATGAGCTACTAATTAAACAAGCTCTTAGCAAATTATGTGTACTGGACATAACCTTGAATTCTTGGCCACTTTTACCATATTCATTAAACCATGCTAGTGAGAATCACATAAAGATGTAAAACAGTAAGGAAAAGTTTTGATTAGCATAACCCATCCCAAAAGTGATAGGTCCATATTGAATTTTGGATTGTGCAAATTTTAATACCTGCCATCACGGACATAATAAATTCAGAAATAACTCAACAGAAACATAATGGGTTGTTTCTACATTCCAATAGTTCAGTATATCAGGTTGAAATCTAATTGAATTTGTGAAGGATGGTACTTTAATAACTAATAAATTGAAGTCACACCTGGATCAAAAGTTCTGTTCTCAAAGTTGAGAAGTAAAATTTCATTCTTGAATTGTATTACTTCATTGATATAGGTTAAAAGTGCAATTCAGTGAAATGTAAAACTTACAGTTTTGCAACAGCTATAAACAATTCACCAAATAAGACAATAACTGATTGTAGTTCATTAGTATCTTTGTTTAACAAAAAGTATTATTGTAAATTCTTTTTAGGCATTGATTATGTTCACTTGCAAACATCATTAAGTACAACATATCTAAGATAAAAATAAAAGTATTCACTGATGAACTAAGCGATAGTGACTTTAGTTTTTCATAAAAGGACATACTAATGTAATAATTTCATGATTAATTATACATATGTGCTGCATATAAATGCATAATATTCCTGCTCAAAGAATATTATCTCCATCCCATTTTTTGTCTTACCTTCCATTTTTTGGGTAAATTCTATATCTTGTTAACGTAGGGTGATTCCATGTAAATATAATGATAGACATATCTATAACTTTGTGTACAGAAAATATCATTAATCCCAACAGACCATTTTTTCTTTCTTTCTTTCTTTCTAGCTAACTTGGACAAGAGTCTAAAAAGCAAGTTATTAATGAATACCAAATGGAGATTTATAAATTAAGGCTTGGTTTGCTTGGCATCTCCAAAAAAAGTCAAAAAGTCACAAAGTCACAATCCTATTTAAGTCATATCATCCTATATAAATCACATCACCTCTCTACCACATCATTTCAAACCCAACCCATATTTCATAAAAAGTCAAAAAGTACACTTATTTTGATCATCCCAAACCACCCCTAAATAGCATTGTACGTGAAACAACCTTATAAATGAATAAGTCATGTATGATTTACATACCACAGGTGATGATATTGTAAAGCGCATAGTTGACGAATAATAGTCATAGTTTGGTCCAGGTGAGATTTGAGAAACATATTTTGGAAGAGGCAGGAAATGTGGATAAAGCTCTTTGAGATGAACTGCTCCCTGACAAGAAAAGAAAAATTATCAGAATAAGATGATCCAAAAGCACTATGTAATCATACTCTTGGCAGACCAATATTCAACCATGCATGATGACTACAAAATGAAGTTTGCATCCTTGTTAGCATCCACTGCATTATTAAAAAAAAAAAAATTAGAATGCAACTCACACATGATTGTCAGATAATAACATAAGCTGCTAGGTCATTGGTCCAATAATGAATATCAAACTCTCATACTGCTTGCCATGTGGCACAGTGGGACCCATCTAGCACATGGAGAGACAGATAAAGCATTATCAAGTTCCAAGTGTTCTGGAAAACGAACCTAAGAAGCAATGCAATTTCAAAAACTATGAACTCTCCACATATTCAAAAGATATCATATTCCTCTCCATGAGCACCACATTAGGTTAGAGGTACCGCCGCCGATGCCTTCCTATATCTTTCCTTAGGGCATCCTTTGTACCATGAAGAGGGTATCTCTTTAATGAGGCCAAAAAAGCTAATAGTAAAAGAGTGTCTACATATTATCCATTCTTAGCAGTTCTAGAAATAAAAAAATTCACTCGCTAACAAAAGCTTACACACCTTAAAAAGATAGTTACACAGCTTAAAAAGAAATTAACAATGGAAATGATATTAAACAAGCAAAGCTTTCTAAAGTTATTAAGTTTAAATCATGATTTAGCAATTAGAATTCACCTTAGATTCTAGAATGTAAAAAGATCCATTCCCTTTCTCTAGCACTAGCAGCAAGCAACTTAAGTTAAAGAATCCATATTGGTTCGAACAATGATTCCAAATGGCTACATTTGCAACTAGAATAATTTCAAGAGTACTTCCACAAAAAGAGCATGAAGTAAAACAGCACCATATGGGAAGATGTATCTTAGCTTGAAAACAATAAAAAGTATTCATGATACAGAGGAATTAGGGAATAGCTGATATCATTAGAACGGTTTCAAAAGCCTACTTTATGCAACAACATTTTATTACCTCCCTGGTAGGCAGTGGTAGAGCAACTGAGCAAAGCTTGAACTTCCGACCTTCCCTTACGATAAGTACCAAGTGTGTGTCACAAAAGTCAACATCCTCAATGATTAATTCTCGGTCATCAATAAATACGTTCTGCAGTAGTTGAGAGAAGCCAGATGATCACTGAAAGCAATAACATTGTTAAGTGAGAGTAACAGTTTTAATTCAAGCAAGAAAAATCATGCAGCCAAGAAAACCCCAATAGAAGTATGTGAACTACATATATACATACATAAATATATTTGCCTTTATGGACATACATATGAAGCTTTATCATGAAAGCACTAACCTCCCATTTTCTAGGTGCAGAAATGTCGACAGAACTACAAAGAAGATAATGATAATCAACAGGTTGGCCCCCCTTGGCAGCGTCTGTAAAAAGGTAAAGAAACCCTTTATGGTGCTCAACTATGCAATGAGCCAGTGCCTCACATTCCCATACTAATGTCAGGCCAGACAATGGATCAGCTGCGTTTATCAAAAAGACCTACAAAAACAGCCACAGATATAAATCTTTACACATTACAAATAATAGTAGGTTAACAAAAGATTGATTATGAAGTGTCATTAAAGTGATACCTTGGAAGATTTAGTGGAGAAGGTATTTACAGTCACAAAGCAGAAATCCTTGGTGTGTCTTATGTTTACATGAACATTCTCTGTATGTTCTTCTAGAAGCAATACATCTTCTTCATTTGACCCAAATATGCTACAATATAACCTATTGAAAAGCAAAGAACATCAACTATAATTTCTTTGGAGGCAGACAATAGAAAATGCAAAGAAATTGATCAAAAAATCTGCCAATCACAAACCGATATGGCCTCTTATTGTGATCAGTAACAACATAAAGCAATGCCTGCCCCCCTTTTGCCCAAGCCAAATTTGAAACCCGGTCTGCTTGAGGCTTATTACATAGTGAGCCAAAATTCAAATCCCTCACAGATAACTTGAAATAATCGCTGTCTTTATCATACATAGTGTATGCAAGAAACCGGTGATCCGGTGACACTTCTGATAATTCCTCATAAGCAAAACCTATAAATAAATGCAAAAATCAAACAATACAAATAAAAATACCCTTGAACTACAATGCAAATGGATAAATTGTAGTACCTCCGAATCGCTCAGCTTCTTGATTGTAATCAAGCAGTTTCTGCTCAATTCTCTTCCCTGAAGCAAAATCAAAACCTGCAAAAGGAGATTTATGCGAAATGAACTCTTCATTTAAGCTCGCCAATCTACGACACAACACCGGGTACTGCTTCCCCTCTTCGACCCGCCGATAATACAACCTGCGGCAACCAACCAACACCCACTTCCAAATAGTAAAAACAGACATTCAGATTTTGAAAGCAAACAAAAAATAATCAAATCAATTCTTGCTTTTATAAAACATATAAAAATTTACCAGGGGCCCCAGCGGAGGGGAGTGGTGGAGAGGTCGGAGGCCATGCGGGAGGCCATTTCGGACTGGAGTTTGGACTGGAGGCGATCGGTGTCGGCCATGACGGCCTCTGTGTACTTCTCTTCTTGCTCCATGTAGACGTCCATGTGTCGCATTGCTACTTTGTCGTTGAGGCTCGACATCCAGCTGTAGGGGTCTTCCCAGGTGGTGTCGTGGAGAGTGAAAGTTCGGGGTTTTTTAGGGGGTTTCGGGGGTTTTGGAGGGGACGGTGGAGGTTGGGGTTTTTGGGGTTTGTAATGGGCGGGCCGGCAGAGTGGAAGGGCTGTTGATGGGAGGCGGAGACACCGGTGCCGGTGGAGGGTTGCCAGAAGGTGGCTCATTGTCGGAGAGGGGAGGGAAGAAAGAGGGGTTTGGCAATAGTCGAGCTTAGCGCCTAGGGTTTAACCGCTTGGCCTCGTTTGCCAATTTGAAATTTTAGTCTATTTATTATAATTTATGGCGTCGACTTCTTCTTTTTTTTTTTTTTTTTAAATTAAAAAATTATTAAAATAGTATGTTTCCAAATCGAGATAGATTAAAAATTTGAAAAATTATCGATAAATCTCAATCTGAAGAATGTTGATCTATTTAGTCTTATATTTTTTTTAATGAACCATTTGGTCCGATTTAATTGGCAAGGATTATTTCCTTTGATTTGACATGTGTGAAGTTTACATATTTACCATTTTGTGAGATTTTTTTTATTTTTTTATTTTTTTATTTTTTTGTGCTAATGTATAGTAGTGATGTTAAGGGAAATGTTTTATATTTCCATTTGTATAATGGGTTGTGTTGAGTGATTTACGATAAGTTATTTTTGAGGGGCTGGTGTTGTTTTTTATAACTAGCAAGCATTTTTCAGGATTGCTGGAAGTCTGTGGGGTTGACTGGTGTTTCTTGTGCCAGCAGCTGATCTGGGTTTTTATGCGACAAGGTAAGTGCTATTTAATGGGCAATTTTTTTTTTGTGTTTTAGAGTGTGGATTATTCTGATTTTTTTTTTTTTTTTTTTTTTGGGGAAAGGGGAACCTGTACACGACTGTGTGTTGTTTTTTGGGGGATTGCGTTCCATTGGGGATTGATGCTTTTCGATTAGGAGGTATCCGTGGAATATTAAGATATTTGTTCATTTTACAAGCATGGAGGTCACTATTTTATTATTGTGTACCTACAGAAAAACGAACGCTATTGTTTGCCTTCATGAAGCCTTGACATTCGCGTAGCTAATTGAGGGGATATGTGGGAAGTTTGATGGGTTGGCACCCGAAATGGTGTTATTATTCTTTACTGTTCCTGGGAATAATAACTTCAAGGTTGTTTGGGATGAGGATATTCGGATCATGTTGTGTCTTGCCAAGTCTTTTGCCCTCTATCATATTGACGTGCTTATTCAAAGACGTGTTGTTATTGACGGTGTTAACAGCAGTGAGGGTATTGTCACAGCGGAGGGTGGGAGCAACCCTGGCAATTTTGCTTGTTTTCTCACTGCCAACCTTGTCGACGTAGACACCTTCACATCAGAACCACGTGTCCTCACAGCAGACATTTTCTTGGGTGTCCAACACGAATTGTTACTTGCAACAAATTGTACAAAATTGTTAATTACATTGGCTACGCAGTTCATCGTGTCAAAAACTTTACCAACATAATCATAAATAAACATGTTAAAAACAAATTTTGCGTAATGTGGACTAACATGAACAATACCTAATCAAATAATGTCACCCTAACTAAATCACATACACAACACCAACCCGGACGACAACAAGCTAGCATGGTGTAAGGCATCAAAAAAATTAACATGACAAAAGGAAAAATATTATCACGTTTACTGTCATTGTTCACGTACCACTTACACTTCACTTTTGACATAACGCAAATCACCAACTCAAACAGATAAACAAGTGTGGTGAACTTGTTTTTTTCATTTAAAAAAAATAACAAACCGAGACTACATCCATGCATCAACGTTTTTCTTTATCATGCACTAAATGAATAAACAACATCAGCATTCCACAAATGATACGACTGATTGTACACATACTGTTTGTTACATTAAAACCTCAACCTCACAAACAATGACATCCACACAAACAGAACCATAGCAACCAATTTCACCAGAGGCCTAACCAGAATCATATAATTTGCCATTCCCTCTTTCAAATGTGGTACTTTTAATGAAGACAAACAACAACAAACATCCTAATAACCACAACATAGCAAGCAATTACATTTTAATGTTACTCATATGGAACCGTGCAAGCATATATTTCTTTGACTTTGTTTGACACAACGTTCAATACGCAACCTGCAATTCATATCCAAGGTTGTTAAAATCGGGATCCTACGTTGGATCGTTAGAGGTGTTTATAGGATCGGATCGTAGAATCGGATCGAGGATCGTAAGATCCTACCGAAAAAGACAAATTACATAATAATTTAATTTAAATAAATATTTCTTATAAAGTATACACAAAATGAACTTATATTCTATTAAAAAGAAATGAAGATATTGTGAAAAATATAATACTCCATGTAAAATGTACATATAATATTACGCAATAGAAAACACGACGGTAAAAGTTCTGTATTTTATCAAAAAAGAAGGTGAAGAAGAAGAAGAATTCTATAACAAAATATTTTACAATGTACAATAATGCATAAAAAATGAAGAAAAAATATTTAACAATATTGGAAATGAAAATAGATTAAGAACTCAAAAGAGTAGCTTAGTCGAATGATAAGGTTTGTCGTTAGCATCCCTAGTGGAGTGGATTCGAGTCACAAAATAATTTCTTCAGAAATTGGGATAAAGTTGCAATCATCTTACCCTTCTTAGACTCTGTTAAAGCTAAGTTTGTTTTTCCGACTATTTAATTTTCTTAAATTACCGCAATATTTGAATGTTTGTTTCCTAGTTTGTTTTTCTTAGTCTATTTGATTCAATACTACTTAATTTTTAATATTTATTTTGACGACATAAATTGGTATTTAGACAACAAACATAAAATTTACAACAAAATATGTCATACAATACAAAACAAGGCTTATAAATTGGATCGGATAGGATCGGATTCGGATCGGGATTCCACGATCCTATAAGATCCCACTACTAGGATCGAAAGATCCTACCTACAAAGAGTTTTTTACATGATTCGGATCGATTGTACTCAAATGCATCGTAAGATCGTAGGATCGTAAGATCCGGATCGGGATTCTGATAACCATGTTCATATCATATCCTTAACACACGGTCTACTACATATCACATGGTCACATTGTACTCCACACATTACAGTCAAACCATGACACTTACATACCGTGCAATGCGAGATTAACACACAGTGGAACACCATACTATAGTAAACACACTTTGATAGCGTTTGGTAGAGTTTTCTAAATATGATTTGAGAATAGGAGTTGTATTTTGAGTTTGTGAGTTTTGAAATTATGATTTGAGTGTAGAAAATTTATTTGGTTATAATTTTTTAATAGAGTGTTGAATTGAGTGTGGAATTGAGCTTTAAAAGTTTGATGTGACATGTGAAATATGAAAATTTGTTTGGTCATAAGTTTTTAAAAGAGTTTTTAAGACTTAATTCAAAAAGCTATAAATCATAATTAAACACATAATTCAAAACTCAATTGAAATTTTTGATCAACAGTCATAACCAAACTCTTTTTTAAATTCAATTCAAAAAACTAATTATTAACATAAATTTAAAAATAAAAACATTTTGTATTGAAAATATTATAAAGAAAATAATTTAAATGTCACAATAAATATTTAATTACTGATCAAACTAAACTTATGATTGTATATTTGATTCGAATTATATTTTTTCTAATATTTTTTAGTTCAAGTTTTTTATATTTTAATAATTACTGTTATTAAAAATATACTAGTTATTATATCATTATTATCAAATAAATGACTACAAAATTTATCAATATTATATATATTACAAGTCAAACAAAAATTAAGATATCATTTGACTAATATTTAGGCAAAATTTAAAATATCATCAAAAATCCGTGAACCTGTACTGTCTGAAGATGTGTTATTGTGCCTCACCTATGAACCTGTACCATCTGAAGATGTATTATTGTGCCCACTTGATTGATATGTGAAGGCATTGAAATGTAAAGGCATTGAAATGACCAAATTGCCCCTGTGTTATGGAATGCAAAATTGAGATGTTAGTCAAAAATAAAAAGGACAAAATTGTAATTTCACTCCTGTGCAATGGCTCAGTTGGTCAATTTCTGATATTAAAAAAAAAACAACTCAACTATAGTTTTTTTTTTAGCCATTTGTTTGACTAAAGCTTTATATCAGAGAGCACATCCACGAACTTCACTTCACAATTTCAGTAACTTATTCACCATCTATATTCTAACATCATTACTGCACCACTTTTAGCAATTTCTTCACCATCTTCATTTACGTTAATTATTCAAATAGTGGCAATACAACCAGACCACCTACCCCAATTAATTTCACAAATTCAGTTCACACCTACACTAATTAATTTCACAAATCCAGTGTATATATTTAAAACTCATATCCGTGTAAAATAAGAAAGAAAGAGCTTTGATCAGAGGTTCACAACAACAGAGCTTCATAATTTCAGTGTTGCAGAAGAGGAGTCGAAAATTCAGCCGAACTGGTCGACCGGGAGGTCAACCGGTGGGTCATCCAGGCGGTCAACCTGTGTGTTATCTTGCCGGTCAACCGGTTGCCTGTCCCAACTTCCAGCAAGACTCAACCCGAGGCTGAGCTTTAGCTATCCTGTTTGCTTACCTTTTGCACAACATTTCTTGACAGTAGCAGTCGAAACTTTCTATACATTTTTCTTACCTTTTGTCATTGTTTTGCTTACCTTCATAACTCATGTCGAGAACAAAAAAAGCCAGACCAGAACATGGCAAAACCTCTAATCCTTTACCACACCAATAACAGCAACAACAGATTTATCCAACTATTGATTTTCTCACATACAATCACGAACAAGCTTTTTCAAACTTTTTGAACCGACTAATTGTTATCGGGAGAAGGGCAAATCTTCCTTCTCAATATGCTTCTCTGTTGGTTGCCAGACTGGAGACGATGGAGTGGCTACCTTTAATCAATTTACCATAAAAGGTACATCCATGTCTTGTGTATTTATTTTACTTTCACTTGAGACCTACTGAGGGAGAAGTTGGAGAGAATAGTCTGACATTTTATATCAAAAGTAAAATAATCACACTGAACAACCACACTTTGGCACAAATTATTGGGGTTGAGACGAGGGGTTTGCAAATTCATTTTTAAAGTGAGTCTGACCTGGGTAACATTGTTGGTGATATAAGTGAATTTTATACTATAATTTGTGCCAACCGATTTACTGACAGTAATTTACATGCAAGACA